AGCATTGATTTGGCATTGGCATAGAGATTATGGCTCTGAAAGGAATATCTATCTGATGGTTAAGTACAATCCCTAATGAGAATTTCCTCCTTCCTTAATGCCCTAAAGAGTTGCCTTGACCATCTTACTAATTAACTGGCTTCTCCTATACTAAGTATTAGGGACTGGGGTAATGATTTCTTAGGGGAGAGAGATAAGCACACCTATATGGACAACAAGTTTGCTGGCACCAGGTCCCATTTTCTCCCTATTATCCCTTCGTGGTGGAGATGCCAAATGGGGCACTCTATGAAGCATTTTTTTTCATAATCAACAGACAAAAATCAAAATGGAGTTTTGCTTTCTTTTCTTTCATTAAATTGTATGAAAGCTTTGGTCTATTGTGGAGAATCATTAAGTAAAGCATACCTTTTTCCCCACTAAACTCTCTTCAAAGATCCTCTCTATGTATGAGTAGCTGGTTTTCATAAGGTTTCATATAGATGATTTAGGAAGAACAAAAGGTTGGTAATCAACTTTCTTTTTGGAGGGGTGGTTGCCTTTTTCTGCTTATTAATAAAGTCAAAGTTTTTTTTAATGTCTTTGATATCTTCTCCTCCTTCATGAATTGATCTCTCAAGATCTTTATAATCACAGTCAGTCCTCAACGGAGCAAATGTTGATGAATTAAACCTATGAGAAATAGGGGGTTAGGTTCCAAGGACCACCAAAGACTGTAATCTTTTGCTAGAGACTGCTGAAAGTATACTTTTCTGTAAACAATTCTTTATAACAAAACATTAATCCTGATAATATGTACTTTTCCAAATACAGTAACCATGACATAACCCATAAAATGCAAAATAAAATTGCTAACATGCACACCATTTTTTCTTGCTAATAATCCCTAGAATTCTATGACCTTTTGGGTTAACATCTAAAAAAAACATTTGAGAGGTTACTTTTGCAATTTCTGGAGTGGATTCACTAACGTTTTTACAAATACTTTCCTCTTCAATTTGTTAACACCAAACTTGCAGCCACAGATGACATTGGCTGCAGACATTCAGGCATGAAGCTTATCTAACAGCTTTATTTTCTCACTAAGCCACATCACTGACTTTGCCCACTTGGGCTTTAAAGCCCAAAGGACTTGTACTAACTTTTGGGGCATAATTGAAACCCAAAACTTGAGTTTTAATGGCAAACAATGAAAATATGCATTGAATGCATGGTGAACTCTTAAACTTAATGGTAGGATGAACAAGACCAGTCAATTGCCTACTAGAATAAGAGCTGTTCCACAGACTTGCATGTATTGTGCCTCTCATTTTTTTCTCTGTTGTGCACAACCAGGACTATGCATGGCTGCTGAAAGGAAAGTGAAAATGAGGTTACTAATAAAATCAGTGAATGCTTGAAGTCAAGAAATTTAAATGTGGCAATGCTGAGGATTGACTGTGTCACTTCTAACACAGATCTCCCCTATATACACTTGGTCTAATCCAAATGCTTTTTCCTTCTTTGTTCTCTTTAGAGCCATTTCTATGACATCCAAAAACATATCTTGGACAGTGATGATATATTCCAAGAGTGGTGGCTTTATTCTCTTTGATGGCACAAAAAATTTGTTAAAAAATCTATTTTCAATGGGAAGACTTCTGTGAATTGATGAAGAGTGAAATAAGCAGATCCAGGAAAACACATATACACAATGACTACAACAATGTAAATATGGAACAAAAAATCCCAAATTGAACAATCCATATCTTTAATGGCCATGAAGCTTAGTCCTAGAGAAGAATTGTGGAAATTCCCTTCCTTTTCTTTTCTTTTCTTGCAGAGGTGATTCACTCCTCATACCTTTGAAATCTGTCTTTCAAGCTCATCAGTTAACTAAAACTGCTTTTTCCAAAATTACTAATGATCTCTTAATTGCCAGGTCTGATGGTCTTTGCTCAGTCCTCATGCTTCCTGACCTATTGGCTGCATCTGACACTGCTAGCCACCCTCTTCTTCTAGATATGCTCTCCTCTCTCGGTTTTTGTGATATTACTCCTTTCTGGTTCTCTTCCTAGCTAACTGACTGCTCCTTCTAGGTCTCCTTGGCTGGCTTATCATCCATATCATGCTCCCTAACTGTGGGTTCTACCTAAGTCTCTGTCCTAGGCTCTCCTTTCTTTTCCCTGTACATTTTCTGTCTTGATAACTTCATTAGTTCTCATAGGTTCAACTTTTTCTTTTCTTTTCTTTCTTTCTTTTTTTTTTTTTTTGCACAGGACTCCCAGATCTATATATTCAGTCTCCCTTGAGCTTTGGTCCCACATCACCATTTACCTATTGGACATTTTACCTTGAATGTCTTAGAGATATCTCATATTCAACATGTCCAAAACTGACCTCATCTTTCCCCCCAACTCCTCTGCTTTTCTAAACTTCCCAGTTTCTGTCAAAAGCAATGGCATCCTTGCAGTTTCCCAGGTTTATAATCTCAGCATTGTCCTGGATTCTTCACTCTTCCCCTTCACACTTCCATTGTCAAGTCTTGAATAAATCTCAACATGAGTTGAGAAATAAAATCTCTTTAACTGAGATAACAGGGTAGCAAAACTGCCACCCTGGAGGATGTCCCATAAGGGAAGAGCAAAATGGATTTCCCAACTCCAAGACCCACTCAAAAGGTTCTTCTACCTTTAGAAGGAGAGGGGGAAGAGGCAGTATGAGGTAGCAAGCTCTGGTCATGAGACCCCACTGGCCCTTGGTAATCTGGGCAAGGAAAGCCACTTCATTCTGGCTGTTTTGCCCTTCATGCCATGAATCCTAATGGAAAGGGTCAAGGACATTAGAAGCTGAGATCCAGTGTAAGCTAGGTTCCTTTACAAGGTAGAATCTCTGGGTGGGGAGACTTAGGGTGTGGTTCACCTCAACCTAACCAAGAGTAAATATCTTATGAGTAGGAATATAAAAACAATATTGAAATTCTGACATTATTAGGATCATTAAGGGAGTGTCAGGTAATATTTGGTATTAACAATTTTCCTTCCTTATGTTAACAGTTTTGTCACCATATATACATCAGTTGACACATCTTGTTTCTATCTGCACAGCATCTCTCAAGTACTATCCCTTCTTACCATTTAATCAGGCACTATATTGGTTCAGGCCCTCAACTACTCTCACCCAAATTATTGCAACAGCTTCCTAATTAGTTTCTTTGTTTCAAGTCTCTCACCACTCAAGTCCATGCTATGCACCGCTGCCAAAATAATTTTCTTCAGTGCAGATCTGACCACGTGATTCCCCTATTCAACCGACTCAAGTGACTTCCTTTTTCCTCTGCTTAGCTTTCAAAGCCTGACACAACCTAGCCCCAACCTATCTTTCCAGCCCCATTAGAAACTACCTCCTGTACTTTCAGATCTAGTCAAGCTGCCCTTCTTTACGCTTCATGTAGGATGTTCCATCTCCTGTCTGTTCCTTTTCATGGGCCATCTCACATGCCTGGAATTCACTCCCTCCTTACATCCACCTCATAGAATTCCTCTCTTCCTTCAGGATGCAGCTGAAATGCCATCTTCTCTACTAAGCTTTTACTGGAGCCCTCCTATTGCCACACTTGATTGGTGTCGGTTTTGCTGAACTGCCTCTCTCTCTTTTTCTTTCTTTTTCTTTTATTTCTTATTGTAGTTATGTCACTCCTGGGTACAGGATATATTTGGAAATAAAGATGATATAAAAACAAAAGATATTAATAAAAATTTTTTTAAATCTTTGAAGAAAAAGATCCCCCCCCTCATTTTTTGTCTTCCATTTTTGTCCTTAAATTCTGTAGGAATAACTTTACTTACCTGGATCTCTTGCCAAGTTTTGTTTTCCCTCATGTAATGAGGGACAACAACTGAGAATGGCCAAAAAGGCCCAATCCTTGCAGTATGAGCAATATGGTCTTCTTTGTATCAACCCAAAAGGAGGCTACATGAGCCTTCTTCCAGAAATATGTGATGACATGTAATAGAAGGACTCATTTCCTGCTTCAGAGTATATTTAGGTATTTTCTGCTTCCTGTCAGCTTACTGGATGGTGAAGGAAGAAACACTTTTTAATTGGCTAATAATCCAGAATTGAATGTGTGTATAAAAAATGTGAATAGATTAAATCTTCCTCTTCAGACAAGAGGTGTTTGCTGCAAATTTCCAGGAAAGAAGTAGCAGGTGCTGCTACCAAGTGATTTATCCTCCCACCCTGGTGGCCTTATGACTCCTGGAGCCCATGACCCCCTCTGTCTCAACTGTCATTCGTGTTTCTTCTTTCCTGATCTTAGGTGAATAAAGTATTGGAGACGGAATGAACCAGGTTATGACCTTGTGAGCTTTAAAAGATCGAAGGAGTCATGGGAGGTTCAGTAACTAGTGTCCACAGAAAAGCTGGCTTGTAACCACAGGAGCTGAGCTTGGTGAGGAGCCAGGTGGAGCCACCTGCTTGACCCAACCCAGCAGTGAATCAACTTGGCATCTGAGACACTGTGCCCAGCACATTAAGAAGCTACTCTCCCATTAGCTACACCACTTCCAGAAACAAACTTGGTGAAAAGAATGCTTTGTAGCAACATTTTAAGTTCCTGCCCATTCTTCCATGGACCAAGTGGAAAAAATAGAGGAAATAATAATAATAATAAAGGAAAGAATATGCCCTAGTTTGTTTGTTTTTTTGAGAGGGGGCTGATTTTGTACTCAGTATTTTACCATAACTTCTCCATAAATAACCCTTTGTAAAAGCTAATTGATGTTAATTGGTTAAATTGATATTGAAAGGAAGGCAGTTGGGGAAATATTAACTGGCAATTGATACTGGAGGGAATATACTGAAATACTAAATAGGAAATCAAAATTACAAGGACTAAAAAAAAAAGATACCCCAACCCTTGCGGGTTATCTCTAAAATCTTAAGGGGAACCACAGCCTGGGGACTCAGCTTGCAAATGTGAATGCAGAATGGGGAAAGTGAAACCAGTGACTGTAAGTGCCAAGTGGGTTTTACTCTTCACTGTTTCTCTCTGTTTTGTAAAGTTCAGAATTTTCCATTGTTCTTCCCAGTAAGATTTTACAAACAAGTTGGTATTCTAAATTGCCTTTGACTACTATATCTCTCTGGTTGGCAAGTAAGTCTAGTATTTGTTATTTAAGGTGGGGTTTTTTTTGGCTGTTTTTACTCTTATGACAATTGATTTACATTGGTTAATCTTATTGTGAAATTACTTTATTCAGTGTCTATGTCCTTTCTTCTAACCATTATCCATTTTTCATTACCAATAGATTGCTTCAGTAATTCAGGATTGAGTTCTTTCAGGTAAATTCCTTTAAAAAGTTTTTATTAGTATATTTTACATCATTTAGTTTCCTCTGTATTGGTTCCCCCCCCCCATAACAAAGGAATTTTTTTGGAAAAAGAAAATAAGGGATTTTTTTGGTCTATGTTTTCTTTTACAACATGACTGCTATGGATAAGTTTTACATGACTACACATGTATAACCTATATTGGACTGCTTGCCTTCTCAATGAGGAAGGGTGGGGAGAGAGGAAGTGAGAGAATTTGGAACTCAAAAGTTTTAAAATCAAATGTTTAAAATTGTTTTTACATGTAACTGGAGAAAAATAAAATACTAAATAAATAGTTTTTAAAAAATTTTAAACTATTATAAAAAAGAAAAAGAAGAGAAAAAAAGCCAGCAAAGTTAACCAATATGTTGAAAAAAATCTGGCATTGATTGCTTGCATTCCATTTCTCATCTTTATTCTTCCTTATATCTTTGTACTAATTTTGATCTTTGTGCTAATGTTACTGGTCTGACTGTACTAAGACAGATGATTTAGGAATATCTCCCACATCAAGAACAAGTCACTTCCTATCTCTGAAGATATAATCAATTTCTTTTCTTTTCTTTCTTTCTCTTTCTTTCTTTCTTTCTTTCTTTTTTTTTTTTTGGTGAGGCAGTTGGGGTTACGTGACTTGCCCAGAGTCACACAGCTAGTGAGTGTTATGTGTCTGAGGCTGGATTTGAACTCAGGTCCTCCTGACTACTCCAAGGCTGGGGCTCTATCCATTGCCCCACTAGCTGCCCCCATCAATTTCAGATGTTATTTGGTACTTACCATATCCAATGCCTACTGATTCTCAAAGGCCAAAGAAATTATTCACAATACACAGGTGAAGGCTTCTATGTCAACTACAAGTCTTTGGCCTCTCTTTCCTTCTTTCTTTCTTTCTTTTTTTTTTTTAAGGCAATTGGGGTTAAGTGACTTGCCCAGGGTCACACAGCTAGTAAGTGTCAAGTGTTTTGTCTGAGGCCAGATTTGACTGGTCCTCCTGACTCCAGGCTGGTGTTCTATCCACTGCGCCACCTAGCTGCCCCTTCATTCCTTATTTCTGACTCCTGTTTTCCAATTTGCACACTATCTTCGTCTGTTTCCACTTTTTCATTAAAGTCACTGAGTATCAAAGAATATGGTGATTTAACTTGGAGGATCTTATCAAATTCTCCATAGAATCTCTCCTCCTCTTCATCCTTTGCAACAGATGGCCATGCATAACCTATATATATACATTTTTTCACGACAGACTTTTTACAAAGGCTTATTGTGGGCACTGCGATGGGAGATGACCAAATGACCTGTGAAATGATGTCTCTTTTTGCCTTTGAGTGCACAATGAAACCAATTCTACCAGTTCTGTTGTTAGTCTCTCCAAGAAGAAACTGGGAGACATTCTTCCTTTAGGTGCAACTTCTCTTTTTTTAAAATTTCATTTCTTTTTTTTATTTATTTCATTTCTAATGAAATGTCAAAACTGATAGAACTCGGTTCTCTCAGTCATGACCCCCTCATTGGTCACTGGCCCAAGGTCTCACATTTAGAGTCAAGGTAAAGTGTACAGGCACTCTTAAAGTTCTGTGATTCTTAGCATCCTCTGCTTTCTTTTCTGCCACTCTGCCACTATCACTGCAGAAGGGAAAGAGGCTACACAGACTAAGGGACATTTCGTAGTTGTCTTTGTTCCATGGGTTGCCGTGGCCAAAGAATTCATTGCCGGGTGGCCACCCCAATGGTGATCAGCCTCTGTGAACTTAGCTAGGCTGGTCCTCCAAAAGCAGACTTGGCCTATGGCCTGTACTGTGCTTGAAGCCTTTCCAGCTTAAGAGAAAGTGCCAGAGCATGACCTCTACTGGCACAGCCTTTGAGAACCCACGGGCATTGCCATACCCTGATGAGGCATTGGAGTAGGACTCTGGGAGGGTTTAACATCTTCTGCTATTTATACAACCCTTGTATCCAGCATACATTCTCAGTAGCAGAACTACTGTCCTGATTCATTTCCAGCATGTGGGTTTCTTAGCATTTTATAGCACAGCTATATAAAGTAAAAATTATTCACTCTCTTCTCACATATTTAAATATTCAGCATGTGCAATACAGGCTGTACTCCAGTGGTGTCCTGCAGCTAGGTGGCGCCACAGTGCATAGAGTGCTGGGCCTGGAGTCGGGAAGACTTAGCTTCCTAACTTCAAATGTGGCCTCAATCACTTACTATCTGTGTGGCCCTGGGCAAGTCACTCAACCCTGTTTACCTCAGTTTCCTCACCTGTAAAATGAGCTGGAGAAGGAAATGGCAAACTCACTGCAGTATCTCTGCCAAGAACATCTCAAATGGGATCACAGAGTCCTACAGGACTGAAAGATGGAACAACAACCAGTGATGTCAACCTCAAATAGAAATGGGGCACTGAACCATATATAAGGATCCCAAACACTGTGTATGGACTTAGAAATCTACATATTAACATTATTTGTGGCCTATTATATTTTTATTTATTTTTTAAAATTTATGTATTTATTTATTGCTTTTTTGGTAAGGCAATCAGGGTTAAGTGACTCACCCAGGGTCACACAGCTAGTAAGTGTCAAGTGTCTGAGGTCGGATCTGAACTCAGGTTCTCCTGACTCCAAGGCTGGAGCTTTATCTACTGTACCACCTAGCTGCCCCCTATTTTTATTTATTTTGTTAAATACTTCCCAATTATATTACATAGTCTGGTTTGGGCTGCCCTCTGGAGTACTGTCTGTGGGTGTTTGACACCTCTGTTCCGCTCATTGGTTTCTGGGCAGTTCTGGCAGAATGGTCAGTTTAGGCTCAGCTTGTTTGTAGAGGCTCAGTTGTTGTAAAGAAAGCTCCCTGGTATTAGTTAGGAGGGGGATGTAGTTTCCTGATTTGAGCCAGAGCTCCAAGAATGTGGTCTATTCCTAGCTCAATTCAGGTCTCCCTGGGAGACTTGGAACAAGTTCCTTTATTTCTCCATAGCTTGGGTTTCCATTTAAAGATTAGAGGAGAAGAAAATGACTTTGTGATATAGGATACTTAACAACAAGGACTGCTGCTGGGCTCAAGGGGCTAGGCACATTGCTTTTGCTCCTTCTCCATCTAGGACAAGGTTCTTAACCTTTTTTTGTGTCATAGACTCCTTTGACAGCCTGATGAGGCCTAGGGACTCCTTAGAAGAATGTTTGTCAATGTATAAAATAGAACAGATAGAATAACAAAGGGAGCCAATTATATTGAAATGTATTTATCAAAATATATTTTTTTAAAAACAAAATCCACAGATCCCAGGTTAAGAACCACTGATCAAAGGGATCTCTCTGCTCCGGAGCCAGGCATGCTATCCAGAGCACTCTCAGTCCTGGTGAAACCTGACCTTTAATGAAAAGGTGAGATTTCTTCTCTCTCACTTTCATTAAGTCTCTCCTCCTCTACTCTGTAAGAATTTACTTAAAATATATCTATGGCCTCCCCAAAGCAAGCAGAAAGAAGAAAGGTACTCTATATATAATAAGAATCAGGTACGGGATAGATATTTACTTTCAAAACAGAAAAGAAATGCTAAACATACTGACAGAAAGACAAATAGAATTCAATAACTTAATTCATAACTTCTGTTATAATTCCTGGGAAGCTGAGATTTAAATCTCATCAAAACAGAAAGTAGTCTGTGAAAGTGATGAACAGGCATGATTCCATTTATTCTGGCTCTGCAAAATCTCCCTAAAATCTATATTTTCTGGCCAGCTAGACCAAGACTTGGGCTTCTCTTCTTGTCAGTCTTTGTCTTTTCTCATACAAAAAATGAGACAATATTTGTAAAGTGCTTACCATGGTGCCTAGCACATAGCAGACACTTAATACGTGCTCGTTTCCTTCCCCTTCCCCCTCCTTTGCTGCCTTGTCAGCTCTGACCAAGAACTTGTGGTTCTCTTGAAATCACAAGATCATCCCCAAGCTGGGACATAGCCATCTCCAAGTTGATGCTCAGTCATCTAAACTTAAGAATAAAATGTAGAAAAGGAAATTAGAGCTCTGACAGCCAATCCCAGGACTGCCAGCTGAGATGGGATAAAAAGGAAATCTGTATGTCCTCCCAGCCCTCATGGAAAGAGGCTCAAAGATTCTTCCTATGATACATAGATGGCATGAGAAGAGTGGAAGATTGATGATCATTCCTTTTTAAAGGATCTAACTTTTCTCTTGATAACCAATAAGAAGAGTGCTTCATTATCCTGAAAGCCATCTAGGTAACAGCTAGGTGGCATGGCTGGATGTGGCGTCAGGACCTGGGTTCAAATCTAGCCTCAGACACTTATAGCTGGGCAAATCACTTCTCCTCTCAGTATCCATTTCCTCATCTGTAAAATGAGAGAGCTGATCTACATGTTTTCTAAGGTTCTTTTAAACTCTAAACCTATGATTTTTTGAATTATGTTAAATGAGATGAAAACTACCTCTATTCTTTCATGTTCAAAGTCTTTAGGCATTAGATTGTAACCTAAGACTTAGAACTGGAAAGGATTTAAGAAAGCATCTAGCGTAATATTCCCTCATTTTACAGATGAGGAATCTGTAGTGTCACCCTTTATGTCTAAATCATGTACCCATTTTGTCCTTATCTTGGCTTTCATTTCTACATCTGAGAACTGCCTGTTCATATCCTTTGACCATTTATCAATTGGAGAATGACTTGTATTCTTATAAATCTAACTTAGTTCTCTATTTATTTTAGAAATGAAGCCCTTATCAGAGACACTGGCTATAAAAATTCTTTCCCAGTTTTCTGTTTCTCTCCTAATCTTGGTTGCATTGGCTTTGTTTGTGCAAAAAATTTTCAATTTAATGTAATCAAAATTATCCATTTTGCACTTCATAATGTTCTCTATCTCCTGTTTGGTCATGAACTCTTCTGTTCTCCATAAATATGACAGGTAAACTGTTCCTTGCTCTCCCAGTTTGCTTATAGTATCAGCCTTTATATCTAAATCATGAACTCATTTTGACTTTATTTCGGTATATGGTGTGAGATTTTGGTTTATGCCTAGTTTCTGCCATACTCTTTTCCAGTTTTCCCAGCAGTTTTTGTGACCTTATCTTGGTATACAGTGTAAGATGTTGATCTGTACCTAGTTTCTGACATATTGTTTTCCAGTTTTACCAGCAGGCTTTGTTAAATAGTGAGTTCTTATCTCAGAAGTTGGGGCAGGTGAAGAATCTAAGACCTAGAGTTACGTGACTTCTCTAAGATACTAAGTTGTAGAGCTAGGATGTCCACTCCAAACCTAGAACTCTACCAGTTTAAATTCATGTGACCCAGCAGTCTTAACTGGATCCCAGTTCCTGCTTAAGCCTTAGGAAGCCACAGTTTTCATCCTAACCAATGAATTCTATTCAATTCAACAGACATTTATTAAACCCCTACTAAAGACACCCACTAAAGTCTTCTTCTGATGCCTCATTGTGGTATAAAAATGATGCTGGATTTCTCGAAGTCAATACCAGTGGAATGGTAGCTCCGGCAAGCCAAAAAGATATTGAATGAATGCTAGCCTGGAGATGGCTCATGTATCTGCAGTCCAAGGACCCACCTAGCTGTATTCAAAGAGTCTCATTGCCAGGTTGGTTTTAGGGAGATGAGCTTTTTTTAAATCATATCAATCATCAAAGACCATCTACTAAGTTATAGAATGGTTATGTACTGCCTGGGTGGAGAAAGTACCCACACCAATAAAATGATTGATTTTTCAAGTCTTGATAACATTTATGTAATGGACTATTCTAGGCCTTGAAATACAAAGATGGAATAAGACACAACCCCTACTCAGAAAGCCTTTACAATCTAGTGAGGAGGATAAGACATAGACACAAATAACATGCAGCAAGGCTGAATGTGATCTCTGTAATTCACAATTATCTCACTTTCATGTTTATAAAGCTGAATGAAAAGCAGTATAGAATTGCTGGGCTTGCAGTCAGGAGGGATTGACCCCAATCCTGCCTCTGGCACTTACTGTCTCTGTTATAATGGGAAAGTCCCTTTCTGAGTTTCAGTTTCCACATCTATAAAATAGGGTTAATAATACCCCTGATTACTTAGGTAATCAGGTTGCAAGGTTGTTGTAACAATCTAATTGGATAAGCTATGGAAAACACTTTGTAAAGAGCAAAGCCCCATAACATGAGTCCTGTACTTTCCACTATGTTACATTGCATCTCCGTGCAAAGGAGAAGTACACACCAACTGCTGGGAGAAATGTGAGGCTAGGGAGATCTCTTGCAACTGCAAGGGGAAGAGGAAAGACTTCCTGGAGGAAGGGAGTACTTCAGCTGAACTTTGAAGGGAGGATTCCTTTTAGTTCTGAACTTAACAAACATAAAATAAAAAGTACATTTTTATATACATTGTAGAACAGAAGGGGATTGTATGTGAATGTATGAATCTCTTAGGTAGAGCTTCCTTTTCTTTTAAAATACATACTCCTTGTATAACTTTCAAAGCTGTCCTGATTATCTGTGATTTGTTCTGCTGTTCCTTCTGTTCTCTTCTCATTAAAAAACAAAGAAACCAATAACAACAACAAACCCAACCCTATCCCTAGACCTCCTCTCTTTTCCACCCCATCCTTCCCTGAAAAGAAAAGAACTCTTTTAACAAGTATGTATAGATGAGCAAAACTAATTCCCATATTGACCTTGTCCAGGGATGGGGAAGAAAATAAGCATTTATATTAAGCACCTGCTTTGTGCCAGGCACTGTATTCAGCACTTCACAAATATTATTTCATTTGCGTCTCACAACAACCCTGGGAGGAAGGTGCTGTGATTATCCCCAGTTTACAGTTGAGGAAACTGAGGCAAACAGGGGTTAAGTTACTTGCCCAAGGTCATACAGCCAGCTAATAAGTGTCTAAGAATGGATTTGAAGTCAAACCTTCTTGACTCCAGGCTCAGCATTATATCTGCAGAATCACTTAGCTGTTTAGTATGCACTGTAAGTCCATCACCTCTCTATCAGGGAGCATTCTTTATGGGTCCTCTAGAATTGTGATTGGTCATTGATCAGAGTTCTTATCTTTCAAAGTTGTCTGTCTTTACAATGTTCTTATTATATAAATTATTCTCCCAGTTCTGTTCACTTTATGCGGCATCAGTTCCTAAGAGGCTTCCTAGGTTTCTCTAAAATTGTCCCCTTCATCATTTCTTACAGCATTGCATTCAAATACCATTATTTGCTCAGTCGTTGCCCAGTTGACAAGCACCTTTTTAATTTCTAGTTTACTCCCACCACAAAAATACCTGCTATAAAATTTTTGTATACATTGGTCCTTTTCCTCTTTCTTTAATTTCTTTGGGGAATAGGCCCAGTAGAAGCATCACTGGATCAAAGGGTATACATAGGTTAGTGATGTTTTGGGCAGAGTGCCCAATTGCTTTACAGCATAATATGAACAATTCACAGCTCTATTAACAGTTCACTAATGTGCCTATTTTCCCTAAGACCCTCCAACACTTGTCTTTTCCTTTTTTTGCTGTTGTCTTTTCCAATATCATAGGTGTGAAGTGAAATCTCAGACTTGGTTTAATTTGTACTGTCCAATTATTAGTTATTTGGAGCACTTTTTTCTCTATGTCTATAGTTAGATTGGATTTCTTCCATTGAAAATTTCTTCATATCTTTTCACCAATGATCAACTGAGAAACAGAAATTGTTCTTACAAATTTGAATCAGTTCCTTATGCATCTTGGATTAAGTCCTTTACCAGAAAGATTTCTGCAAAGATTTTTCTCAGTTAATTGTTTCCCTTCTAGTTTTAGCTGCATTAATTTTGTTTGTTCATTTTATTGTATGTTCATTTTATCTTCTGTAATTCTATCTGTCCCTTATTTGGTCCATAAACTATTTCCCTATCCATAGAACTGTCAGGTAATTTCAAAAGAAGAATTTCAGTGGGTAGAGACTGGGCAGGAATCTATTCCAAGCACATGGGATAGTGTGAGCAAAGGTACCAAGACCCATGAGGGCAGGATGAGACAAGGGGGCAGTGAGTAGTCCAGTATGGATTAAATTTAAAAGGGAGTAACTGAGCGATAAGGCTAGAAATATAGGTTGCTACCAGAATGTGGACAGCCTTGAATGTCAGGATAAGACATTAATACTTTGTTACATAAGTGATGGGGAACCACTAAATTCACTGAATTTTCCTTTTTGATGCTGAGAAATAGTATTTCCACTGTATATGATGCAATTGGATACTTCCTACATAGTCCAGACCGCCTGACACAGAACTTTTCTTGTCATCCTGAGAGAGTAGTCCAACTATGGTGATAATAACTAGTGTGTTTTTGGAGAAGAGAACCATAGCATTCCTTTGCTATTTTAAGCTCTTTCCCGAGGGAGTTTTTGTGTCTACACTGACACCTAAAGGTGAAAAGGAGAATCATTCTATTTTCTTGCTTCTGGAAGGTTGCCTACACATCACATTCTAAATTACGGAACGTTAAAGCAAGAAGAGACCTTAACGATCATTTACTTCATTTAGTTCAACACTCAATTTTACAGAAGGGGAAACTGAACCCCAGAGGAAGTAAGCAATTTGCTAAAGGTTTCATACCTAATTAGTAGCAAAGCCAAGATGAGAACTCAGGTTTCCTGACTCCAAAACCAATGTTCTTTCTTGTGTCAAAACCTCCATTTTTTAATTTTCAAAAGAGATTCTTATCTGGTCTCTGCCCTCTCAGCATTCCTTCCCCCAAATATATACATAGTTTGCTAAGCTATATAGCAGATAACAAGGAGTGTTAAAGATGTTATCAGGTAGAAATTATTTGGATTGCAGATTAAAAACTCTGGGTCATATTTTTCATCCATACAAAACAGAAAGTTTGTATGTGTTGAACCATATGGAAAAGAAGGAAGAAAGAGAAGAAAAGAAGGAAGGAAAGAAGTATTTTTTTTTTAATTTTTAGGCAATTAGGGTTACATGACTTGCCCAGGGTTACACAGCTAATAAGTGTCTAGTGTTTGGCCTGAGGCTGGATTTGAACTCAGGTCCTCCTGACTTCAGGGCCAGTGCTCTATCCACTGTGCCACCTAGCTGCACCCCCGAAAGAAGTATTTATTAAGTGCCTACTATATGCCTACACTATACTGAGTGCTTTACAAATATTGTCTCATTTGATCCTCACAACAACCTTGTGAGGTAGCTATTATTATTATCCCCATTTTACAATTTGATGGAACTGAGACAAATAGTGGTTTGCCCACCAAGTCATTTAACTTCAACAATATTGAAAAGATTATGAGGAAAGCTGACATTTATTTACATGAGAGGATGCCTTCCAACTTTGCTAGTATAGCAGCCCCTCCTGTTACAGCAAGCTCTCTGGCTATATCTCTGAGGGGCCACCCTTCTAAAACTATATCTTATGAACCCTCAACAAATGTTCTTTCTATTAATGGACAGTCAGTAGACACAAATGGCTCTCAAAAGTATATACTAGAATGGCATAGTTAGACGGTAGCTACAAAATACTCTCCCCATTAACATGGGATGTGCTCTTCCATAAATAGGTACATCATAAATAGGAAAGATGGTCAGAAACAGACTAAAATGGTTACAAGCCACACATGTAGGGAACATAGCCAAAGCAACTCATAATTCTAGAACACTCTAGAACTACAGAACTTCTATGTCCTTGATTTCCTGTGGTAGTCCTTACAAAGTTCTCCTCTGGGTACATGGTTTCTGCTGGGAGGATTGCTCATCTGGATTCTCAGGGTCTGCTTCTTTCTACAGCTCAACTCCTGATTGCCAGGGTTTGTTCCCTCTTGAGTCTGAAGCTAATCACTTCTTTGCTGCCATTGGGCCTTTTACTGAAGCTATTTCCTGCTTTGAGGAATTACCTCTATATCCATGTCTGTGGGAATATTGTACCTCTGCTACCTTGACTTCATTTCCAACTCTTTGGAATAAATTCTCCAGTTGCTGGATAAAGTATCTCCTTCTAGTCAGTATAAATACAATGATTTTGCCTATTTAAAAAAATTAAAATAGAAAGCCTTAAAATATATGCAATGTATTTTAAATATGCAATAGTTGTTGGAGAGGGGGAAATTCTCCTTTCCCCCATTAGATGAAGTGTTAGGTTCTACTTGAGTGCTGGCTTCTACCTCAACTGCCTCTAACTTCCTAAATTCTGTCTTTTAAGGGTCATCGGAGGGCATTCTTGGTCATTGTTCTTCACTCACTTGTGACTCACTCAATTGACTTGGTAAAACCTCATAAAGAGATTTTGCGGTTGGCTACATTTTTATGGTTAGTTTAATATCTCCTTATCAGATCTTTTTCTGTTTTTAAGGACCAATTCCTTTATATCAGTAATGTGTCATATAGTTCTGAACAAGTCCTTTTAATCAAGTATTTCTTCTTGTTCTATTAGAGTAAGATATGAACAGCTTGATGTAGGCAAATAAATAAAATGTTTGCAAATTGCTCTGAGATCCTTAGCTGGCTGGAAGGAAAAGAGAAAAAGTCAATTGAAGA